GATCACACGACAACATAAAAACCACATCAACAGTTCATGATCGATGTGTTATTTACAACAGGTCGTTTTGAGAAATGATTTATGTGCTGCTCCTTTGTACTTCCAGTCAGAACACCTTCAAATAAACACATACACTACAACAACTCTGAATTCTGAGCACAATCTGAAACCAACTGTTAATTGCAAAAAGCATTCACTTTATAGGTTTTTTTTCAATATTCTTTCAGTTTTTGTTATAATGGCCTGTGATATTCTAAAATTAAAATCACACAAAATGCATTCCATATGCTCCTAACTGTCCACATTCAAACTCTGTATATCTCTCGCACACTTCAATAAAGCCCTTATCGAACAAATCAGTGTCAAATTTGCGACGACGAGACGAAAGCAAATCCGTATTTCCTTACTACAACTGCATTGAACCACGACACACAAAAGTGGCACAGCAAAAAACAACTGCAGTGCAATATTATCAATGCGCTATCTATTGCAATGAGACACTTTTGTTGTGAAACTACTGTTCAGTTGTTGCACGAGGATCAGTGATGAACTCTTCAAAAAGTATCTTCAAGCTTTGGATTGAATATCATCGTTNTTCAGTTGTTGCACGAGGATCAGTGATGAACTCTTCAAAAAGTATCTTCAAGCTTTGGATTGAATATCATCGTTAAACGAGAACGAGATGTGTTACTAGGATAAGTTTATTTAACAAGAAATAATAGTTAAAATTTGAACCAATCAATGAATAATATAATTAATAATCCAACAGTTGCGTGAAAACAAAAAACAAAACAAGAATAAAAGATGAAACTGAATAAATCCCTATCTGCTAGTTTTAATTCGCGTTCAATTTCAGAAGGGAACCCGGTAATTACAGAAGAAACAAGAAACCCAAACGAGCGCACTGAAGTGGTGTGTCAATCAAAAACCGATATCAACAAAGGTATGTTTATGATGATGAAACGATTATAACAAATGTACACTATGAAACTATTCAAAAAGCAACAATCTCAAACAAATAACAAACCATCAATAAATCAATAGAGAAATAAGTTATTATTTATGAATAACAACAAAATATTGCCTTTAAACGCACAAATAAATTGATCACTCCAGCCAATCATCAATTTCGTTCACAAATGAATAGCAATCAATCAATTGCTGCATAAAGTATACATGACTGCCTCAACAGTGAATGAATAAAATTACTAGCTCAACCCTGACGAGAAGAGTGAAGGCATAAAACAAAGGAAATGATTTATAAGGAATGAACCATACAACAAATTTTTTGTGCACAACTAATCTTAAAATATGAGAACTTTGGATGTGAATCGATTTGGAATTAAAATTGGAATAATAACGAAACAACGATATCAATAACACACTTTAAAACCATTATTAATGTATCACCAATCGTCCTCTTCAAACAATAACAACGAAAAGATATTTCTCTGCAAAATATCACATTGCGAGTGTGTTGTAACACTGACTTTCTATCGAACAACCTATGCCTAGTGATCATTCGCTCTTTTCCCTGAAAATTTACAATAACTTTTTTATAAAGTGCAATCAAAAAGTTATCAATTATAAACCATTCACTAAACGGATATTCAAAACATTCAGTAAAAGCGAAGCAAAATATTGACACGAAAAGCAACGATTCATACGGTAACAGAAAAGGCGTAATTTGACAATATGAATTTGCCAACAACGTCACCATTTCATTTATTGCTTCTAATTCTATTTTCTCCTTAAAAATTGCTGATAAAGAATGAGACAAAACAAACTTTCTCTTTTGTGCAACCGCTCTCAAAAGTCGATTACCCGCCAGGAACGTGAACGCACCAATTGCTGACAAATACTTCAGTGTTTCGAACATGTTCAATCGCAACCAAAATACGAAATACAATCCGAAAATACCTATAAATCAAAGTTGCATCTTTCAATGTTATCTCTCATTCGGTCCTTGGATGAAGGAACAAGACTGCATTAGAAGCGTAAAGCACATCGAATCGCTATTGAATAGAAATTGGAAAAGTGATACGAGTCATCGGTCACCTTAATGGAGGGGACAAAAAAAAAGACCGCGCAATTAGAGTAAAAACTGAAAGAAANATTATTCCGTACGAAATAAATAATGACAGATAGCTGAATTTTCGAAAGCTTTCAACCTTCCACAGGTGTGCATCACATAAAGGCAACTAGGAAGACGCATAAAGCGAAACTTTCCCTTCAAGTATTTTTTCTTGCAATATTATCTTTATTCGATGGCGGACAAAAGAATGCAAAAAAAGCGTACCAAAATGAGCAGTACGAGGATAGGCAAAACGCAGAGTACAGTGAAAGCATCGGACAGGATTTGAGATGGACGTTTCTCTGGTTCACGGAACATGTGCTTGATCTCAGGCAATTTCTCGTAGTTTATCTTCTCGGAATTCTTCACTTTCGGTGGTGGAACAACTGGCAATTTAAGGTTTACATCAACCTGAAAATATCTACCTGAATGATATGATGAAATCATGTTCATCATATAAAACTAGTGCATCCATTCAAATAAAATATTCACATCTGATGGAAAACAATTCAACTAAAATTAGCAGTAGACGCTCAATTTCTTGTCAGACATTAGCTACTGTGTCCAATGCGCATAAACTAACATTTGTTACCCGATGTCTACAAACACAATAAATATCTCATCTAATGTCATCAATTCTTATTATCNAATTAATTGGATTATCAACAATGCAAATAAAAGAATTCAATGAAAAAGAGTGACTGAAAACGAACCAAATTCCAGTCGAATGCGTTCGCGATAGCCGCATCTCCGATAATAAGACGAACAGCATACTTGCCCGACACTCCATCGAAGTCCTTTGCAGATTTCTCGAAATTCTGAAACATCAATCATTTTCGCTCGTGCCCCAAAGCATAAAGCATCACGTAGAATCTACTACCAAATTAACCACGAATCTAGATGTACTCAGGCTGGAACGATGATGACTCCAAAAATTACACAACTTCAGTAGAGTCATGAAATTGTTTTACGTGGTTCGTTGAACTAAAATGCGTGAAAGATGAACGGATGTGATACCAACCACATCGAAAGTGTACGCATTCGAACGATCTGGAGTGGCAACAAAGATGATTTCTTGTTTGGTGACGGAGTGAACGAACGCAACGAACGCTTGGTGCACGGTGACTGCATTCCCTGACTTGGCCTCTTTTACCACAAATTTGATTTCCATCTTATTATGAGCATCCGCATCCAAATCACGACCCAATTTTGCGCTCTCTTTAACTCTGAAAGAATTCTAAGAATAAAATAACGGAATCAATGGTTTCAACTCAGCAATGTCAGAATGATAGATTTGTTTTAAACACGTGAAGAAGTAAGATCGATCCTTGTAATGGAATCAAGTTAAGAGATTCTCAAGGATGGAATCAAATATTAGTCTAATCAACAACGGACTTTTGAACATCGCTCGGTTTCGATAAATCTCGATCGTAGATTGCAATCGTTACGTCTTCGATACGAACTTTCGACAGAACCTTAATGGCCAACGATGCGCCGTTCGTACCAATTAGACGCTTGTCCTTAATTAATT